TTTATTGACTAAATTCCAGGCAGTGTGCTAAGTTCTTTCCTGATTTGAATTTTCCCTTCTCACAGCAATTCCACAGGCAGGGACTAACATTATTCCATTTTTCAGATGAAAACACTGAGGCATAGAGAGGCTAAGAAGTTTAGCCAGATCACACAGCAAGCATCCAGCAGACCGGAGACTCAAGCTAGGGTGATGCTTAACCACTGGTATCCTGAGTCTGGGACAGTCATTCTAACCTTTCTGTCTGCCAGAAATAGCCACTCAGCTGGTCACAGCACTCTGCAAGTTTACAAAGTCTCAGTGGATTCAGTTAAAAGGCCATTTAGTAGCCAGGTTCAGAATACCCCATGCACCAGGGCTCTAAAGTAGCTCAGCTGGAAAAGCCTTAGATTAAAGCAAGTGGTTTATTTGCTTGGCATGGGTTCAAGTGTGTGCTTAGCATTTTGGGCTCTTTATGAGACAAGGGAGGCTGTTTTGCTCACCTAAAAAATAAGAACGGTATTGTGCTGACTTTCCTGAGCTGATAACTAAACAAAATTTTATTTTGCCTGATGTCAAGCAAACAGTAGGTGCACAATAGATGGCTAGCTCTGAAATAAAGATGCTCGTCTTTGGCTGCTCATAGCGGCTTGTGAGACAGGTAAGGCAAAGTGTCGCCGTTCCCATTTAACAGAGGGGACATTTGACTCCATTCTCTCTCCACTGAAGAGCAAGGCAGTGAGTGGGGTCCCATGGGTGTTTTCCCTCCTGCGCAGGTCAAATTCTTAAGGTTGGATGCTGGGAGATGCTGGTGGCCGAGCCCCTCGCCCAGCACAGGAATGTGGGGCACTGTGGCAGGGTGGTATGGGGAAGCAGGGTACTGACTCCGAGGCTTTTCCGCTGCAGCTGCGCGGGCTGACCACACAGCAAATTCCACAGCCACACCTGGCCTTGCAGCTGTCTGCTCTGGACAAGCATGAGGATCCTCCGAGCCTCCTGCCCCCATCCTGGAGGGCGGGCCTTGCCTCCTGGTGACCTCAGGCTGGGGAATGCTGGACCAGAGCATGGGGGTGAGGGGGCAGAGAATCAGTTTCCTCCTGGGGTTAAGCACACTCCCAGCCTCATCCCCTTTCTGGAGGGAGCCTAGTCCTCTCTGACAGCCAGGAGCTAAAGAGCTCCCCAGCTGAGCTCTTACTAATACCCCGGTTCAGAATGCCTAGAGGGAGGGGAAAGCTGGGGAAGGAAACCGCAGGAGCACCCCCTTGCTTCAGGGATCTGGGGATCTATGGAAAATCAACTCCCAGGAGGTCGGACTGGAATGAGGTGCCCTCTTTCTCTAAGATCTAAGTCCTAGTCTGCTCTGTCCACCTGCTTTCCACCTCCATTCCCCATCCTCAAGGTCCAGGCACAGGGCAGAGGAGGCGCTCAGACTCACCAGCCCTGCAGTGGGTGTGGCATTCAAGGGCCCCAACCTGCAAGAAATGGCCTCTGCTCACCTCTGACCCCAGCTGTCAACACACCTGTTACACTCTCCTCACTCTCTATGTCTTCCCTAATCTGCCTTTTTTCAGTGTTTCAAATAAACCGAATTCTTCCAGCCTCAGCGCCTTCACCCCTGCTGTTCCCTCTCCTTGAACTGCTGTCACCCTGCTCACCCCTTTGTCTGGCTTCCCTTTCACCCAGCTAACCTCCACTCCTTTTTCTGTTCTCTGCTTAATCATCACATCTTACTAATGTAGGGACCAATGGGGCATCTTGAAAATTCTTGGTCCACAGCTCTTGGACATGAAGTCCAGAATCAGCTGGCTAACTTCCTCCAGAAGCTGGCATCTCATTGCATCTATTAATCAGGTGAGACTTGACGATGCAGTTTTACTAAAAATGATGTGATGTGAGTGTCTGAAGATACAGAAGCAAGCTCCTTCCCTCAAAGAGCTGGTTTGCCTATGTGCTTCCTTTTTTTCTTTGTTTCATTTCCTGAGAGAGGATCTGATTGGATACATTTGACAGATGAGGAAACTGAGGTTCAGAAGATGAAGTAATTGCGCCAGGTACTATGGGGTGAGCGGGTGCTAGGGCTGAGACGCTCCCATGTCCGTCTGACTCCTGAGCCTGCCCGTTGAGTCAGTTTGGTTCTATGGGCTTGGCTTGTGTGTGTTTGCACGCTGGGTGTGTTTCTACGTTGGGTGTGTTTCCTTGAACTCCAAGTGGAAAAGCATCTATATTTGAAGATGAATGTGCTTTGGGATTGAGTAGGAGTGTAGGCATGTCTGCTCTGTTGGCCTGTGACTTGTTTGGTGGCTGTTGGGGTCTTTTACCATGTGTGTGTAGTATTGGGGGTTTTGGTGGGTGTATTGGATAGGAAGTAAGTGCTGGGGAGGCCAGAATGAGATTTCTGTTGGTGTGTGTTTTCTGATATAGTCTTTTAATTTTATACTTGAAAGAACTCTTACATACAAAAAAGATTTTAAAAAGCCATATCTAGGGCCTCCCTGGTGGCTCAAGGGGTTAAGTTTCAGCCCTATGAAGCTATCTGCCAGGGAGCTACCCACATGGCGCAGCAGACCTCTCCTGTCTCGCCCATTGCTCCCCTCAGCAGTGTATTTCAGTCAGTCTGCCTGTTCTGCTCACTACTCTGTCTCTGATGAATCCTCTCACCCCCTGCACCTCTGGCCCACACCCCAGTTCTTGGATGCATAAATAAAATAAATCTTTTTTAAAAATCATATCTAAATCTAAATCCTTTTGTTCGAGTATAGCTTAATTAAATGTCTGGCTCTCTGTCTCTGTGCAGATGGAGCGGCAGCAGAATCAGCCTGGCCGGGTATCCATCCCTCCTCCGCCACCCACTGATATGTGATCCGAGGCAAAGACTCCCCTCTTTGCACCTCAGCTTCCCCCTGTAGATAAAGATGGGAGGGGGATAATAACAGCACTGACCTGATAGGGTTGTCCTGAAGATTCAGTGAGCTCTTCTGCATCCAGGGCTTATGACAGTGCCGGGTGCTGAGCGAGGAGGCCAGCCCCCGCCATATGGCTGTCACGCATCAGACATGGATGACGTGTACAGGGTGGGCTTCTGTGTATTTGTGCAAGGGCACCTGGGGGTGTAGCAGGAAGGAGCTGAGAGGCTGGGGGCTGAGCTGTCTCTGATTTGTGGGGAGAGTTGTGCTTGTTCGTACAGGCATGTGTGCGTGTGTTCCACGGGGGTGGGCGTGCCTTCCGCGTGTGCGTGTGGGTGTTCCCGCCAGAGCCCCAGCTCCACGCAAGCTCCATGTGCCTCCGTCTCTGCATCTGTTCAGGGGGTAAGGTCATGACTCAAGGCAGCTGTGGGGACCAAGTGAGCAGTGGATGAGAAGTCCCTGACCGCCTCAAGCTCAGGGCACTTGGAGAGGTTCATGTTAAGCATCTGGTCAGTGCTGACACTCCTGGGTTCCGGCTGGGGTGTCCATCCCTCCTCATTGTGGCTCGTTGTGTCTGCTGCCCATGGACTGCACAGCTATCCGAGGGGTACAGGGGATCCCTGCCTGCCCCAGGCACCCTCAGTCTACTTTCTCCACTGAGGCCCAGAGGATAGCGATTTGCCCCAGGATGTCCACCACACTCAAAGATCACAGCTTGTTTCTCTTGTCCTTCTGGTGTGGTGGGAAAACCCAGGGGCACAGCCCCATCCTCACTGCTGCTGCCCACCCCCTCCCCGAGCACTCACAGTGAGCTGCCCAGCGCAGGGCGGGGGGGCGGCCCAGTTGCAAGGTGTGTGCTTTGGCAGCTGGGACTGTCTGAGCCTCAGAGGCTGAGGTTGTGCGCTGTCTGAGGTGGCAATTCCATGTGTCTGGGGAGGACCCCCACTGGGGTAGCCGGTGCTGGCCCCAGACCTGCGTCACCAGCAGCACCAGGACTCACCTTGGTACTCTGAGAGGACGTTGCCTGGGGCTCCTAAGAGGTTGCTGGAGAGGCGGCAGGATTAACGATGCTTCCACTTTCTTTTTATTATATAATGCCCTTCTTGTAAGTCTACCCCTTCCACATCCTTGCCCTGATCCAGCCTAGCACACACTGCAAGAGCGGGCAGCAGAGGGCGAGAGTAAATCGGCAGTCAGAGCCTCCTGTCCAAGTCCAGCTGCTGGAAGGGCGGGGAGGGGGCTGTGGGGCTGCGGATGGCACATGCCATCAGCTCCCATTAAAGTCACTGTGTTGCCAGGTGGGACAGGGTGTCTGCAAGGTCCCCGCTCCTCGGGCGCCTCCTGATCTGCCCAGGTTGACCTTTGGGGTATACGCACCCCAGTAGGCCTGGTCTTCCTAAGCCTCTCTGACCTCTCCTATTTCAACATTTCTCTCTTCTCTGCAATCCCCTGCCCCCAGCCCCATCTTTCTCTCCTCGCTTCTGTTCTGTCTCTCTTAAGTTCTTTCTGTCTCTTTTTCTCTCTCTTTCTACCTTTCTGTTTCCTTTATCCCTTTCCTCTGTACCCTTTTTTTCCCAGGTCCCTTTTTGGTCTCATTTTTCCCCCTTGGCTTCTTGTTTTTCTTTCTCTCTACCTCTTTCATTCTCCATCTTCTGGTTCTTTCTGGGTCTTGTGCTCAATCTCAAAATTGCAGCAGCTCAGGGACGAGGCCCTGCATTATCCTGGGGAAGGTCTGCGGGCAGAGAGGGCACCCACTTTGCACCAGACTGGTGAAGAGTTGTCCAGGCTGGAGAAGACTGGTGTCTGTCTGCTTGGCTGGCGGGGTGGAGCCCTGGCTTTGAAGTGGTACTGCCATCTCAGCCCAGGCCTGGTCTGGGTTGCCAGTGTCTGGGTATTTCTTTCCACTGCCCGATCCACTTGTTCCACTCTGGTGGGAAGGAGAGGGGTTGGGCGCCCGTTCCAGAGCTGAGTCAGGAGGTCTTGCCAGATTCCCAGGAGTTAGCATCCTCTGGGGTGGCAATGCCAGGGAACACTCAGAGTTTGGTGTCCTTATGCCCACTCCCTCCAGGCAGCCAGCTTTGACTACGAGAGGCAGACAAGTGATCCGTCCAGCCAGTTATGGCCCTGCTGCTGGGCACCGTGGGCCTGGTGAGCCTGCTCTTCTGGGCAGACCAGACAATAAATGCCTTGATGCCTAATGCCACCCTGGCACTGGCCTGGACCAAAGGCACAACTGTGCATTCTCTGAGTGGCCTGGGGGTGTCCTGGTACCGGGGGAAGCGCCACATCTCTGCCCAGGACATGAGTGCCTTGCTGGATTATCACAACTACATCCGGGCCAGCGTACACCCACCTGCCGCCAACATGGAGTATATGGTGAGTCCCCAGGCCCTCCCCTGGGCCCCCCACCCTGTGCCGCCTCCAGCAAATGTCAGTCAACTTGGTGTGTCCTGTAGGGCTAGACCATTTACCAGCCCGGCCCCACTGACCAGTATCTGGGTGTCTGGGTCTTGGGGAGAGAGACTGTCTGCCCATTTTATAGATGAGGAAACTAAGGCCATTCCAGGTCTCCTTGAGAGTCAGGGCAGAGGAGCTGCTGTTTATGCAGCACCTACTGTGTGCCATGCAATACACGCAAGAAAAAGGTCCCGCCTCTTCCTTCAAAGTGGGAGTTATCATCTCCATTTGCCAAATCAAGAAACTGCAGTACAGAGAATTAATTTGTCAAAGGTCACCAGGTGAGATTCCAACTCAGCTCAGCCTGCTGCTCCAGGTTGTGGTCCTAACCAGTGCCTAACCTGGCCTGAGAATCCTGACTCCCCACTCCCCACAGGGACCTGCAGGGGAGTGGATGCCTGGAACTTTGCAGACTCTTGTCTCCTTGCCTCTAGGCTTTGACTGATACCCCCAGGCCACCAGCCTCAGCAACCTGTGCAGGGAAAGCCTGGAGCAGTGGGCGATGGACAGCACTGAGGGGTCTCAGGCTGAGGAAGACCGACAGCTCATGAGCAGAGGGAGCTGGGATGTCCTTCCGCCAAGAACCAGGGCCAGATTCTCACCCAGCCCCCCGGGGAGCCAACCTCCTGGAGCGAATGTCTGTGAGGACTTTCCTCATTATCGAGGCCCCTCCCCCAGGACCATTGTCCCAGTCTAGAGAGATAGGCTTCCAACCCACCCACAGATTTCTTTAGGGAATGAGATTGCCAGTCCGCCCCCTCCAAGACAAATACCTGTTACCCAACAGCCTGAGAATTCTTACACTTTTGCAACGTGTCGGTTCCCTTAGCTCTTGCTGGGAGCGGGGCCCATCATGAGCCTGCAGACACTGCCAGCAACAGACACGGAGTCTCTCATCTCATGGTGCTTCCATTTCAGTGGGGATGCTGGAGAACAAACTTCTACAGCAAAACGTGGAGACTATAATGTCAGGCCGTGATAAGGCGCTGGGGAGGGGTGGGGACCGCAGCCAGCATGGCAGGCCGTTAGAGGCGGGGGAGTCTTTGTTTGTTCATTCACTGACTCATGCATTTATTAACACGGCAACTGGCACATAGAAGGCCCTGCATTTTTTCAAATGACACCCTTATTGAGCCCCAGTTGTGTGTGCAAGGCAGGCATCCCAATAGGCGTTTAATTATTGCAGAAGGTGTGGAGCAGAGGAATTGAGTTAGCTGCCCAGGAACTTGGGGAGGGTGACTCAGTGTGGGTTGGAGGTGAGCATGCCCCTTCCCTCTGTCTCTGTTTCTGAGGGAAATATTCTGCTTTCTGAGTGGGGAGCCCCGGGGAGCTGATTGCAGCCTCTTTGGTGGCCCGATTTCTCCTTCAGCAGCTGACTTTTGCCCATAGGCAGGTGTCTGAGTAACCAACCGTGTGAAGCAGCCCCCTTTATTCCCAGCCCACGTCCTTATGCCCACCAACATAGTAGCAATTTCGATGTCTCATTTTCTTGCTCAACTGCGAGTCCTCTGTGCCTGGATGTCCCATGTTTGCTGAATGAACAAAGTAGGTGAATGGACCAATGTCAGAGGATCCCAGGAAGTCAGAGGAGAAGGAAACTAGTATTTTTTCAACTTTTTATTTCAGGTTATAAAACTTGGGACCTTCATCCCTTGTAAAATGAGGGAGCTGTTGAGTAGGATGAGGAGGGTATTTCCTGTATACTGATGTGGAATAATCACTAACATGACCTGTCTGGTTAGGTAAAAAGAACCAGGTGCCTGATAGAATGACAAACTGTCACTTGTAAAAATCTATATATGCACCCATATATAAAATACATATACTACATGCAGAGATGGACCTATATATATTTGCACAGGTGTAGAATGTTTCTAGAATAGGATGTCTGACAGGTGATGGGTGTCCTAGGGGCCAGGTGGCTGGAGGGGTGGCTCTAGAAGAGGAATGAGAGACTGTACTTCTCCTTTTTTGCATATCTTATTTATGAATGTTTTCTCCATTCAAAAATACCATTTGAATTAATTTATTTTAAAAATATAATAAATAAAAAAATCAATTATCTTCCCATGACTCTGAGCTCAGTGACATTCCGGGACTGCTGAGAATTTCTGGACAAAAATCCTGGGACCCCAGTCAGAGCAGAGAACCCCAAGCTTGAAGTCCAGTTAAGGGAAAAGAGCAGGGGCCTGTGAGTCAGAGACTTCGGTGTGCAGACAGGCTGTGGAGTGAACTTGCTCTGGAGCTTGAAGGCATGGACTTACTCTGTGCCTCAGTTTCCTAACTTGGCAAGTGATTTGTTGCAAAGTTCCAAAGAGATAGGGAGTACTGGCACCAGGTAAATGCACACCACTGGGTGCAGTTGTGATGATGGTGGCTGTTCTCTAGAAGAATCCCATGACCTTTTCTGTTTCCCCAGGTCTGGGATGAGCAGCTGGCCAGGTCTGCTGAGGCTTGGGCCACCCAGTGCATCTGGGCCCACGGGCCCTCACAGCTGATGAGATATGTGGGCCAGAACCTCTCCATCCACTCTGGCCGGTGAGTGACCCACTTCCTTCACACAGTCATTCAACAAAAGCACATGAACACTTACTCTTTCCTAGCTGCTGTGCCTGATACTAGGATGCAATAGTGAGCAAGACAGAATATTCTAGTGAAGGAGACCAGGAGCGACTAGGTGAACAAATGGTGCACAGATTATTTCAGGGAGTGAGGAGTGATGTGGAGATTCCATAAGGGGATAGAGATTCATGGAGAACAGAGTTGGGGATGTAGGGGCTCCTGGCTGGGTGCCTCAGGCCCACAACTACTCAGCCAAAGTTTGGCAAATCCATTCTTCTGGCCTGACTTTCTTACTACCATTCTGACTCTTGAGACAGAATCCAGGGGCCTGAGTTCTTTCCTGTGTGACCTTGGGAAGTAATTTCCACTTCCGAATCTCAGTGTCCCTACCTGCAGAATGAAGGTGCTGACTAGCTCAGTTCCGTGGCTTTTATAGGCCAGTACAATTTGAAAAAACATTTATGGGACTGACACGGGTTGCCCAGATTTTTATGTTGCCAAATAAGGACACTAGAAAAACAGTTCCCCTCCCTTCTCCACCATTCTACTGTAACCCCTCAAGAGGAAGAACAGGTGAGATCAAGGCCAGTCCTTCCACAGAGCTCAGTGGAGACTCTGCGCCCACCTGTACCTGGCCAGGCCAGCACTGTTCTTGGTGAGCTGTGAATCATCTTCCCGAGGGTCACCTGATCCTTCCTCAAACTCACCTCCCCTTTCTTCTGCCATTAAACGCTTCCTTCCAGGCTCCACTCTTTCTGTCCCACCCCCAACCCCTCACCCTGGCCATCTCCTAGGATTTCACAGAGAAGAGAAAATGGTGTCAGGGTGAAAACATGAATTCTCCCAGATTTCCTCCCTCCCGGGCCCTTTTGTGTCTCTGTCTCTGACAATTGTGTGTGACAGAAGAATCCCTGGGACCCCAGATGGCTTTCAGGCTGCAGAAAGTTTCTGAGGCTGAACACCAGTGTCTGCCTCCTTCTCCCATCCACGGCAGACCTGGCACAAGTCCGGGACTCCTGTCATCTTGCTCCCTTTGTAGATGAGGAAACTGAGGGGAGGGAAGCCAGGACACTCACGCGGCGGGTGGCCTTGTCCACTCTTCCAGATCTCCCATCGCCCCGCTCCCCCAGGTACCGATCGGTGGTGGATCTCGTGAAGTCTTGGTCTGAGGAGAAGCGCTATTACTCGTATCCAGCCACAGGGGACTGTCACCCGCACTGCCCCTGGCGCTGCAGCGGCCCTGTCTGCTCTCACTATACCCAGGTACCCTGCGGGGCTCAGGGCCAGAGGGAAGCCTGGTGGGGGATCTGAGAAGGATGCGGTGGCACAATTACAACTAAAACAGGGGACTCCATGGACTTCCTTTCACGTATAGTGAGCCTTTTCCCAGAAAGTTGTGTATCTTGACCTGAGCTGATGGTGTCTTGTTTTGAGTGTCTTGGGTTGATTGACCAGATTGTTTGGCCCCAAAGTAGAGATATGAGGTCTGATGAGTTCAATAGTGCTTTCAAATCAGTAGGTCTTTTTCTAGTATTTTCTGTTTTATAAGGCTCTACTATCGTTAAAAAAAAAGCTAATTAAGGTCACAAAAATTGTCACATATTTTAAGCGCTAGTATTGAATATGCTAACATAAAATACCATACATAAACATACAATGCAAGTTTGCGAGGAATAGACCAGAAGCTTCTCATGGCTTCTTATGGTAGGACAAATTTTCCATCAGCCCCATCAGTCTCCGAGTCACGTTCTTGGAGGTGACGTCAAGAGTCTAAATTTGAGACCCTGTAGCAAATGTGAGGGGTAGACTCAACTCCTACCCTGACATTGCAGAAAATAATCTCTCCTCCATTTTACCAAAGAAGAAACAGAGGCACAGAGTGGTTAAGTGACTTGCTCAAAGTCACACAGCTAGTGATAGTAAGATTCTGAGCCAAGATGGTTTGACTCCAAGGTTTGTGTTTTCACCTCCCCCACAATGATGATTTTCAAAAGTTGGTCACTAGGGAAAAAAGAAAAAAAACTAACAGAGCAATATAGAAAACACAAGATATACCTCACGTGATAAGATTAAAATGAATTCATAAAATCTTTTTCTCTGTGTGTGCCCGCACACATGTGTGTGCATGTTCACACACGTACGCATGCACTGGCCAGCAATGCATTGTATTGTACACAAAATACACAAAATGTATTCCTTACTATTGGTCATAGTAAAAACAGATTTGAGAAGCATTAACATTATAGTACAGCGTGCCTCCAGTCCCCCTCCCTTGGGACAGGCAGACTGGCTCCCCTAGCAAGGCGTCCCCTGACACACCCAGCCTGAACCAGACCCAGGAGCCTGCCAGTTCCCCCTGAGTCCTCCACATGCCCTCCCCACCCCCATCTTTGTCCTTCCTCAGATGGTGTGGGCATCCTCCAATCGGCTGGGCTGTGCCATCCACACCTGCAGCAGCATCCATGTCTGGGGCAGCACTTGGCATCAGGCCACATACCTGGTCTGCAACTACGCCATTAAGTAAGAGCGGCACTGGGGCCGGAGGGCAGAGCCTGCGGTGGGGCGGGCAGGGTTCACAGAAAAGGCAGACACAAGATACCTGCCTTCCTCTGTCTGTGTACCCTCAGTACCAGGCTGGCTGGCAGTTTTAGAGTCGATTGATGATCCTTTTTCCTTACAAGTTTTAGAATCAGTTGAGAGGTAGACAGGAGACTGGCAGGTGGGCAGGCTGATGAGTGGCAGAATATGAGGCTTTTCCTACTGTTTTCTAATAGTGGAGCTTGTGGTGTAGAGTTGCCAGCCCAGCAGGTTTGCAAATATCTCAGCATTGAATTAGGCCGGCACCCCCACTGACAGGCAGTACTGGGCAGCCACAGGCCTCTTGCAGGGGCTGCGCTGGCCCCTCACAGATCAACACAAGAAAATGAACCCCTGAGAACACACGATCCTGGCAGGCAGGTAGGCAGCCTCGGGAGAGAAAGGAAGGTGAGGATTAGCACAAGTAGCTCCTCCCAGACTCTCCAGTCATCTTGATGGGAGAGCTTCTGGAGTGATCTTGCAACGAGGCTCTTGAAACATGGGAAAGAGGGAGTGAAGTCTCCATCCAGTGCACCAGCATGTGCACACCTGCAAACACTGCAGAGCCTCATACTAAATAAACGAGAACACATTCTGGGTTAATGTGATCTTTAGACTTTCAGAATGACATGATAACCCTCTTTTACTCACCTGCAGTCCTCGATGACCCACAAAATACTTTCATCTTCTTATCTCTTCGAAGAGATGAAAGAGAGAAAGAAGAAAAAAGGGAGGGACACTAGGGAAATATTTTCCCTTTTTACAGATTAAGAAATTGAGACTCGAAGAGGTTCAACGATTTCCAAAACTCACACAGTCAATAAGTGGCTGAGAGAGAAAGATGGATAAGTCTGGAGTCAGGCTGTTGAAAAAAATGGACAGCAGTGGCCTCGATGGGGCTTCCTGGACAACCCCCTGCACCCCCTCCCCATGACTGACGTTTACTCATCTAATTAATCCATCATTTCACAGCTCTCTTATACATTACAAAGTGTCTTCACCTAATTTTTACTGACATCATTTCATTATTTTATTCAAAAGATTAAACCAAGGCTCAAGAAATTGACAGTGCTGCAGGTGGCACATGGCAGAATCCAAGATCAGAGCTCAGCTCTGCCAGGCAGGAGGGGGGAGTAGAGGGAATAAGCCTCAAAGCGGGTGGGGGGTTGTCATTTATTTACCAGGCACAGTCTTAGGTGTGCCACTATTTGATCTTCCCCGCCTCCCTGTGAAGTCTTCTCTCCAGCTACAGATGAGGAAACTGAGGCTTGCAGGCAGGACTTGTCCAAGCTCACACAGCCCGCCCACAGCTGTGCTGAGATCTGGAAACCTGCGCCATGGGCTTCCCATAACTCTCCTCTGTCCTCTGATCCCATCTCCCTGGGACTTTTTCTCTTCCAGGGGCAACTGGATTGGCGAGTCACCTTATAAGACGGGGAAACCGTGTTCCGCCTGCCCCCTGAGTTACCAAGGCAGCTGTAAGAGCAACATGTGCTTCTCGGGAGTCCAATCCAACAGGCTCCTGTGGTCCTGAGTTTCCTGTGGTCCTGGGCTCTGGCAGGCCTCACCCTCCAGGAGTCCCTCCCAAAGACCAGGCCACAGAAAATTCAGTTTTTAAGGCCATGAGTTGGGTTTGTTCACAGATCTGAAGTTCCCCTCTAGGTTTCATTCCCTAAGTGTCCAACACCTGCCAGAAGAAGACAGGCTGCTGGCCTGTGTCTCCTCAGACCCCCCGGGAGAGGCCCGCACCTCCTACCATGGGTTCTCAGAGAATGAGGTGATAGTTGAGTGACTCAGGTCTCAAACCCACAGGGCGTGTCCATTCAGTGACATTCGCCCAGTAGCAGCCTTTGAGGGCCCATAGTCCCCTCCCTGAATGAGGAACATGTCAGGTCCTGGCATTTCAAAATCTACTGACTGTGGACACCCCACTCCCCCTGTAGGCTGCAGGTGCCCCTTTTACAGATGGGTACACTGAGGCTTAGTGAAGGCAATTACTGAGCCCTGCACTCATGTCTGAGATGGCGCTAGCTGGGAGGGTGCGAGGTCAGCCTATTCAGGCCTCTCTCTGAGCGCTGGGGGCAGAAACCAAAGTTGGGCTGAGGGGACACTCTCTCCGGGACTGCCTTGTTCTATCTGCTTCTCTCTCTCCCTCCCTCCCCCTCTTTCTCTCCTGTTTTTCTCTCTTGTTTCCCATAAACCATTTCCCCTCTCCCCACCCCACCCCACCCCACCCCACCCAGATATCCTAACACACAAAAGTCCTTTTGTCTCTGGAGATAGTAAAATCTCTCCCTCAGACCTTGCCCTCCAGCTGGGGCTCCCTCCCTGACTCCCTACCTGACTGGTGAGCTCCATTCAAAGACCCAGTAGAAAGCAGGAGGCTCCCTTCCCCACCGGACTCCCTCCAATGTTCTGGGCAGAAAGGGTTTTCTGCCCACCCAGGCCACAGCCTGTGTGTGTCAACACCTACCCTCCTCCCCAATAAAGTCCCTTGAGATCCCTTGTGTGGCTCTTTCTGGTCCCTCACGCTCCTCAGCTCCCAAGAGGGTCAAAAGAAGAAAGAAAGGAATTGAATAGGGGGAGGTGGAGTGGGTGGAAAACTAGCTCCTGAGGAAGACCAGGAGAGGGGCTAACAGCGCCTCAGGCCTGACTTAAAAGAAAGGAATTGAATAGGGGGAGGTGGAGTGGGTGGAAAACTAGCTCCTGAGGAAGACCAGGAGAGGGGCTAACAGCGCCTCAGGCCTGACTTAGGGCAGGGATGAACAGCTGGAGCAGCACGTGCCTGTGACTCCGTTCTGCAGGTGAGAAAGATGAGGCCTGGGGTGAGCGAGTGCCCAATTCTCAATGCTAGCAATGAGGGAAGTAAGAAGCAAGAACTCTTGTGAGTCATTATTCTCAGATTATATCATTCTTACTTGGGAGGGGGGTATTAAGACATCTTTTTGCTAATGAAAGAATGATAAAAATTGTCGGATTAAAAATTATTTATGTTGGGTCTCCCCGGTGGCACAGAGGTTGAGCGCTGGGTTGCAAAGCTGCCCGAAGCCTCTGCTGCGCCGGTTTGATCCCCGGCTGATCCCGGGCCACCGGAGGAGGGTCCCACATGGCGCGCAGACCTCTCCTGCCGCCCGCTGCTCCCCTCAGCAGTGTATTTCATCAGTCTGCCTGTTCTGTTCCCCGCTCTGGCTCTGGTGAATTCTCTCACCCTCCCGCGCTTCTGACTATACCCAGTGCTTGTATAAATAAATAAATAAATCTAAAAAAAATTATTTATGTTTATTATTGGAGAAAAACAAAAGGCTTGCTACCCTTATGTTTATTTCCCAAAATGTTCTGGAAATTTAAGTGGCTCATCTCCTGTGCCATCACAAAGTCACTTTACTAGTAAGAGGCAAGCATGGGATTCGAATTCAGCTTCATCTGAGCCCAAAGGATTTGAATTCAACTTCATCACCCTCCTGTACCCTGACACCCAGATGGTGAGGGTGACAACTACTGGCATTTATGAACCGCTTGGTTCACGCTTCCTCTCACTGAATGAACACAGCTACCTGGAGTCATAGGAGCTGCTGTTCTTACCCCCATTTTACAGCAGAAGAAACTGGATTTGATTCTGCTATATCATTCAAAAGTCCAGTGTCTTAACCCCTTCATTCCCCTGCCTCTCAGCTAAGAAGGGAGAAACTCAGGGATTGAACAAAGGTAGAAACAATGAAATCAAAACCGCCATTAAAGGGTGGGAATTCCAAATTCCAGACAATCTCCCCGGTTCCCTGCATTCCTGGAACTGCCTTTGAGAAGAGCGCATGCTGGAGGAGACTGAGCAAGTCCACATGCTCCTGCTGGCCATGCCTGGACACTGCAGACCGAGGGGTGAGGACTGGGAGCCATGGGGTTGCTTCACCCGCTAAGATTCTGAGGGGGCTCTAATGCCTAATTATTTCAGTGTGTAACTTTCAAACCTCTGTAGTATTTTATAATTCTTGAAAGTTTTCAAACCTGAGTCTCATTTATTTGCTCATTTGCTCATACATTTGACACCAAGAGGGTTAAAAGCATAGTCGCTGAGCCAGACCCCATAGGCACAAACTTAACTCAGTGACTGGTGTGCTTGGATAAGTTACAGGAAACTCTCAGTGCAGTGGGCTCATGTGCAAATGGGGACACTAAAGGTATCTATCTACCCCATGGGGTGATTCAATGAATGAATGCATGGAAAGACAGTGCCTGCCACATAGAATGAGCTATAAAAGTGTCAACTCTGAGCACATGAGTATAGATCAGGAGTGGGCAAACTATGATCCACAGCCAAATCTGGCCCACTGCCTATTTTTATAAATAAAGTTTGATTGGAACACAATCATGTTCATTTGTTTAGATATGATCTACTGCTGCTTCCATGCTTCCACAGCAGACACAAGTAATTGCAACAGAGACCATGTATCTAAAGTCTAAAATATTAACTACCTGATCTTTTTTACTGAAAAAATTAGTCACCTCCTGAATCCATAGTATTTCTGTATTCCTGGAGTTTATAATCTAGTGGGATAATTAGGCATTAGACAGAAGATGAATAGAAATGTAAATCTTCCTTCTCTTATGATGGGGCTATATACTATAAACCCATGGTAAGTTGAAAATATGGTTATGTTGAAAATGAAGTTAATACACCTAACCAAAGAACATCACAGCTTAGCCCAGTCTACCTTAAATATGCTCAGAACACTTATATTAGCCCATGGCTTGACAAAGCCATCTAACACAGTCCTATTTTATAATAAAATGCCTAACATCTCATTAATTTATTGACTACTGTAGGCTATAGAGTATCGGTTGTTTACTCTCATGATTGCAGGATGGCCTGGGAGTTTCTGCCCAGCATCATGGGAGAACATAGTACTGCGTGTTTTTAGCTCAGAAAAATATCAAATTTCGAAGGGCAGTTCCTACTGAGTGTGTATCACCTCAGCACCATCGTAAAGTCGAAAAATCATAAGTCACATTATGGTTAAGCTGGGGACCATCTGTATTATAATGGAAGTAAGTATACACTTACTGGGAGAAGAACAATGACAAGAACACTGTCTAAACTGGAACAGGTAGTTACGGGGGTCTTCCTGCAAAGGGATGTTTTCTGATGAAGAGAAATTGGTCAGACTCTGCTGCAGACAGGACAATGTGGGTGGAAAACTGGGCAGAGAACAGATGCATTGTCAGGAACTAAAAGAGGACCTGCTGGGGGACGTGGGGGAGTGTGAGATGACCCTGGGGAGAGAGGCAGGGGCCAAATCATGAATATGTTTAGGAAGCCTAAGAGCTGCACTCAAGGGGTATGGGGAAATATAGCAAGTTTCTAACAGTGGAGTGACATGTCAGATTCGCTTTCACGGGGAATAGGGCCAGCATAGACTCTGGGCTCTAAGAAAAAGTTATTTCAGTAATGCAGGTGAAAAATAAGTGACTTGATCCAGGATGGTGACAGTGGGAACAGAGAGAAGTGGATACATTTTTGAGACGCTTAGGAAGTGGCATTCAAGAGGACTTTGCAATGGTTGGTGTGGGGGTGAAGGGAATGGAGAAGACGAGGGTGTCATTTTATCAAGATGGTAATACAGGAGGAGAAATATTGATGGACACAAAGACATTGTATTTGAGATGTCTGTGAAATAATAAGTGGAGACAGCTCGGAGGTGAATAGTAGAATCTGCACTCTGGTGGAGAAATTTAGAGTAGAGAACCTCAACTCTAGTTGAGTATCTATGACTTGAGTTGACCCATGACTTGAGTTGAGAGATACTCAACAGGGAGTCATGGGTAAGTGGATGGCCAGTGAAACCAGGGTCATGGATGAGATTATGAGAAGAGAGATAGTGGAGTGGAGAAAAAGTAAATCTAGAATTAAGTGCCCAAATAACTAGCATTTATAGATAAGTAGAGAAGCATGAAATATCAAAAGACAGGAAAAGAGAATAAGGAGGAAGGAAACCAGAAAACCATCAAAGCAGGGATGCTAAGAGAAGAGGTTATTTAAAGGAAGAAGGACCTACACTCAAAGGCTACTGGGCAGCTAGCAAATTGCCCATTGAATGTTTGGGCATGGAGGTGTTCTAACTCGCCAATGAAAACTGGGTGGTGGTTGGGGTGGGCGTGGGTGTGTGCTGGGGTGAAAGAACGCAAGCCAGTTTCAAGGAGGCAATGCTACAGGTAGTTGATGAGAAAAGAGAGAACAAATGTAACCAGCTTTTTAAAAAGTTTGGCAGCAAGAGGGAGAAGAAAGGTGATGTGTAGCTGAGATGAGGAAGGAAGCTAATGAGAGAAGGTTTGTTTTGACTAAAAGAGATATTATAGAATATTAACATTTGGCTAGACTCCTGCTTTTAGAAATTGGTCTTACAGATACTCCCCACGTGTGAGTCAAAACACACATTGCTTTGAGGATCGAACATATTAGGATCGATCTGTTTGTAGAGGCAAAATTCTGGAACAACCCATGTGTTCCGCAACAGTGAAATCATTTATGGAAAATTCACATACTGGAATAATAATACCTGGCTACTCAAAAAATGAGCTGCAGATTTGCTGGTGTGGAGCTAGACCTTAGATACTAAGGGATAAGCAAGTTGCAGAAGAATGTGTTTAATATGTTTCTATATATTTATAAGCATTTATATTTGTGAGTATGTGTTAGTCAGCTCAGGCTGCCATAACAAAATACCATAGTCTGGGTGTGGGTGACTTAGATAACAGAAAACTATCTCTCTCTGTTCTAGAGCCTGGAAGTCAGTCCAGGTGCCAACATAGATGAGTTCTGGTGAGGGCTCACTTCCCCACCTGCAGAGAGCTGCTCTCTCACTGTATCCTCACATGGTGGGGAGCAAGCAAGCAAATTCTCTCCTATATCTTTTTATAAGACCACTAATCCTACTGGATCAGGACCCCATCTTTATGACCACATTTAATCTTAAGTACTTTCTTAAAGACCCTATCTTCAAATACAATCTCTTTGGGAATGGGGGGCGGGAAAGGGGTGAGTCAACATATTAATTTGGGGAAAATGCTGTTGAGTCCATTGCAGCAAATGTGTGTGTGTGCATGTGCATAATATCTGGAAATATATACAAGAATTTGTTGTCAAAGTTTAATAGAGTTATGAGAACTAAGATGGACAAAGGCTTATTTTTCAGTATATGCTATTTGTACAAATTTTATTTTTAACATGTAAATGTGTTACTTTTTTTGTTTATAAAACTAGTCTAAAACTTATTTATAAAAGGAAAGAGCACATTATATGGTTAGAGTTAAAAAGACTGACAACAGCAAATAATGATGAGGATGTGGAGCAAATAGGAGCTCTCTTATACCAATGCAAAATGGTCCGGCCACTGAGGAAAACGGTTTGGGAATTTCTTATAAATGAGACATAAGCATACCACATCAGCCAGCAATTTTTTTTCCTAGAAATTTAACCCAAAGAAATGGAAACATATGTCTATATGAAGAGTTGTCTATTAATGTACATAGCTGCTTCATTCACAATAGCCTCAACTGGATACAACCCCAGTGTCCATCACCAAATGAAGGGGTGAAGAATTTTCAGGGCAGCCATTCCCTGGAATACTACTCAGCAAGAGAAAAGGACAGTACACAGATGAATCTCATAAACATCATGTGAACAAAAGATGCCAAACACGAAAGAGTAACGGCTGTATGACTTTATTTATTGGCATTCTAGAAAAGACAAATCTAATCTTGAGTGGTGGAAAGCACATCAGTAATTGCATAGAGTGGGAGGTGCTGCAGAGATTGATCACAAAGGAATCAAGGGGGTGGATGGATATGTTCTATATCTCGATTAAGGCGGTGGCTACACGGTATGTACATTTGTTAAAACCCATAAAACTATACATTTAAAAAGGGTACTTTTTATATTTGTAAATTATCTTGTGTATTATGTGCAATTTTAAATTGTCTCGATAAAGTTGATTTTAAGTCTGAAGAGGGAGAGGCTGAACCTAGAAGAAAAAGCCCATGTGGTGGTCTGCATGGCTCCAGAGCAGTAGGGTGTGGACCTGGGAGGACCTGGATAGATGGAGGTGAGCAAATGCAGGTGAATTTTTGTGGGAAACTGAGGCAGGCCTACGTTTAAGTCTTCTATTTTATCTATGACAAAGGTAAAGCCTTTTCCTGCTGATGATGAGAATGGAAAAGTTTTGAGACTAGAAAAAAATTTAAATCCAGCTAAAGAATAGAAAAGCAAAGAGAAAAGAAACAGGGTAGAAGTCCTGGGCAGTGGGGTAGGGGAATCCATTGAGTTGGGGACCACCAATCTCTAATGGCCTCCGTCTTTCCTTCTGTGACGTTTTCCCAGCAGTGATCGGCTGCCAGGGTGTGGGCAGGAAGGCACAAAATACTTAGGTTCGTCCAGGCTTATGTTTTCGTCAGGTGAGAGACAAGCAAGCAAGAAACTAAGGCAATGGACCAGCTTCACTGTTTGGAAAGGAAAAAGAAGGCTGGAAGGCATCATAGGCAGAGAGAAAATGGAAAGAACAAGCGAAGGAAACCCCCCCGAATGTCCCATCGATAGGACACAGGAGGTCCCTTTGAGGGAAGCCCAGTGGTGGAGCAACATGGAGGGAAAAGAGCTGTGGCAGAGAGGAATGTGAGCTAGCTATTTGGAGGAGGAGCAACGTATGAGTCGGTCCTGCTCCACGTGGCAAGAGGATGGTGGCGTGGGGTCTCCGCATGCTTCTGAGCGCCATGTTTCGCTGCTTCTTTTTTGAGCTCTCTAACATGACGAAGAACTGGATTTCGGTGTTTCAGATCAGGTCAGATAGGTCAGGAGACCCAACATTGGGACAAAAGAAACTATTTCCAAATCGCCAAGTGTCTCAGATGCAAGCGAATCAAACAGGCTGGCTCTGCATTCAAGACCAGAACGCACATTTTGGCAGGAGGCTGCATTGTGAAAGGGGAGGGAGGCCAGCAGGCCAGCGGGGGAAACAGCAGAGTGGGCTTTGGCCCACAGCCCAGAACCTGGAGTGAGACGAGTTATTCCATCCTCCTAGCACTCACCAACCCAGAATAATATCATTAAACAATTATCTAATTAATGTCCATCTCCATTAGTCCACAAGTCCCACAGATGTAGGGGTGACATCACCTTAGCCCATTTCTATATCACTGGAGTCTAGCACATGTCCTAGTATACAGCAGGTGCTCAATAGTGTATGTTTGATGGAGGGAGGCTCATTGGTTGTCACTTGAACTCCCCATGTGACTCCAGGCAAGCTACTTCTCTCTGTGCCTCAACTTCAAGGTTTAATTTAAAGGTGACAATGCCTGTATGCAACTCCCAGCATCCAGTAGGCACTCAATAAATACAATCCTCCTCCCGCCTCCTCTCCCCTTCCCTCCCACCTCATGCCACACCCATTGTTTGGAGTCATAAAACCCAACCCAAGTTGGACTCTTACCTCCTCTTCCTCTCCTGGCCCGTCGCTTTCCTCAAGTGGTGGCGGTGGGGGTTGGGGGGGGCAATTGGTGTCCCCCATGTCTGGCTCCAGGTACCCCCAACGTCAGAATGCAGGACTGGGGCCTAAGAGGACCTCTGGGCTGGCCGGGTTGCTGTTGCCATGGCAACAGTGACAGTCCCCAGCCACAGGTTCCCTAAGTGACTGGTTACTCTTTAACATATCCACCCACCTTGGGTGATTAGAAGAATCAATAAGATAACCAGGCAGTGGCAGCTGGCTACACTCACTGCCTTCCTGGTGGACTGGCTCCTGCTGCCTCCCTGTGTGGGGCTCAGCTCCATGTCCCTGGGTCTCCGGCTGGGTGGGCTCGGCCATGGTCAGTGTGAACACGCCCCTCGGGGCTCCCGTGGAAAGTCCCTATGGTGAGTAGGGCCAGCGGTGGGGGCTGGGGGAGGACTGGACAAGACAGGACCATGCTCAAGTTTTCGAGGCCATGGGGTACCCCTGCGTGTTCTGAAGGGGACTGAAGACCCTGTCAGGTCTCCTTCATGACAGCAGGAACCTCAAGGAGGTACGCGGCTTGTTCCACTAAGTTTCTGAGCCCAGGCATGGCGGGTCTGCTGTGGCAAATCCTGGAAGAGGCCTCAGGAGTCGCAGGGCAGGGGCTTGGCTTATTTTGTCTGCCAAGAAAGACGGATTTCCTGGAGATGCATACAGTGGCTTTTCTGAAATTCCCCAGAGAGTGGGTCTGGAAGCATCCCCTCCACTTTGCAGCAGGGTCAAACTGAAGGCCCTGGGGAGCCTTGCTGGACCTAGGTCTCTGGGTGGGAAGAGACCCAAGGCGGGGAGTGCTGGCTGGTGCTTCTGAGGGGGTCATAAGTTTTGGAAAATTCACCAAGGGGAAACCATATAAAACCATGCACAACGCGGTGTGTTGGAAAATGAGAATAATCTTGTGCTATCGATGTGAAGCTACGTGCATGGCTAGAGAAGCACGTGCTACTATTGGGGAAGGGCTCTGCTCTGCTGCTTGTGATGCCCCCATATTGGAGGAGTATCTCAAATGCCCCACAGCAGAGAATGGGAAATACAGCATCTTTAGGGTAGAATGCTGTCCCGCTGGTGAAGGGGAACAGCGCAGGTCTGTGTGCACATAGGGAAGGATCTCCAAATTACCTGAAGTGTAAAAAGTAAACTGAAGGACTGTGGAGAGCATATTGCTCTTCTGATAACAAAATGGATATATCTGTATATATGTACACACAGACACATTTGTATTTGCATAGAAATTTGTATTTGTATTTGCATGGAAGGATACACAAAGGCCAATAAGGAGTTTTGTTTCTGAGGCAGGAGAGCCAAGAGGTTTGGACTTATTTTTTTTACACATTGTGGATTTTTAAAAATGTGTGGCATTTTATAAATAAATTTAAATCAGGTTTGATCTCTGGAATTGAGTAGATCTCAGGTCTAGTTCTTTAGGCAAATTCAACATTTCTGTGCCTTGGTTACATTTTCTCTAGAATGGAGATGGCTTAGGGTCTTCTTGGAAAATGAAAGGAGAGGCAGGGGGTAAGCCTTTGCGTCACCTGCTTAGTCAGGACTCAATAAATGTACTGTCCTGACTGCTACAGCCAATCTTTTTTTACTATGATCCACCGTCAAGCAGAAGTGTGGATCCAGTGGAAACAGCAGAGGCTGGAGAACCAAAGACCACCTGGGGACCCAGCCCATGCAAATGCTGTGTGACCTTGGGCAAGTCACTTCCCCTCTCTGAATCTATTTCCTCATCCACTGACTGGAGAAAACAGGACCTATCTCAGAGAAGACTGTGCATTAGAGGAGATAGCATAGCTAGAGGGCTGGGCATGCCTTAGGTGCTTAACCCAAGGTTAAAACACAATTGTAAGATTTAGATGACCCTGTGGCAGGAGGAAGACGTATTGTCTCCCAAAGGTGCCAGACAGTCTGCTTCTGGGGAAGGACAGCCCCAGGTCACAAACCCTAGACTGTGGGCAAACAGAAGGCTCCATGGAACTCCTCCCAAAGGATAAGATAATAATATAACCTGAGCCTCTCACCATTTCCCAAACCTATCCACTTTGTAGGGTGTCCTCACATCCCTCAGCCCAGACCTTCACAGTGTCATCACATGGCAGAAGTCCAGACATTTGTTGGGTGGATGGATGGGTGAATGTTATTGGCCGATTCATTTTATTCTCATAGCAGTTGTCTCAGATAAATAATGTTGTCATCTCCAAGGATAGAAGAGAAAATCAAAGCTTAGGATTATAAAAAAATCATTTGACTCAGTCCATCCATCTATGCTGAATTTTTTGGCTAAGCTACAGCAATGGCTGAGCAGAGGAAAAAGGACTCTCGTGGCCAGTTTTATAGCATCCATCGACAAAAGAACTCTGCTGTCCTGAGAGAGTGGTGCTTTTCCTGGAGAGAGAGAGAGAGCGAGTGAGTGAGCACTGGTTGCAAGGGACCCTATTGTTTAGATCAAATAAATGTGGCTTAGATCAAATAAATGTGGCTTAGCATATGCATCTGTCTTATATCTCTCTCCAAGCCTGAGGTTTCAGCTGCAAAATTACAGTGAGGACGTCTACAGGGAGAAGCTCTGGGGAAATGCACTTTCTGATAAAAGAAACAAGTGCTTGGAGGAAAGCCTTTTCCTGGTTCTCTAGTAGGGGTAATAATAAACCTTAGTTTCAGTAGGACACTCTTGAATGTGCTGATCTTTGGTGTGGTGATGCTGGATGAACTTGATCATTCCCTGGACTTGCAATGTGTTCATGCATACTGGTTTCTGCTTTGAATCCATCCATCCATCTTTTCATCTGTCCTCTCACCCATCACCTCATTCATGCGTGCATCTACCTACCCATATATCCATTCCTTACCCAGCCACTTACATCCAACAAATTATCTCTCCATCATTCCCATCTATCAATCATTATACATACTCATCTACTCATCATATCTATTCATTAATTCTGGATTCTGCTTTGAAGTTCTCATCAATACCCTGATCAAATAATTGGCGTATGTTGTGTCTGATGCCCCCACCAGACTATAAACTTGATGAGCGTCTGTTGGCTGAAACAGTTCTATGACAATGGTCAGCCATGTTAGCCAAGTCCACCCTCTTCTCTTCCTTCCTCTGTCATCCTCATTGTGTTGGTTTTGGTTCTTGATTGTCTTATTATAGGCCCAAAGTGACAGTCAAGGCACCAAACTTGACATCTGCACTTAAGTGTCTGAAACTGGAAGGGATTTTGCTCAAAGCACTTGTTTCCTTTATCAAAAATCAGAAATTTCCCAGCAGCTTTCCCTGCTTCTAGGAAATCTGGGAAATTCCTTTTCTAGTGGAAAGGAACAGGAAAGCTAAGACTGGCTTAGACCAGTGATGTTCTTTTCTTAGTGCCTGGCACTCTGCGGCTCCAGACAAAACGAGGGTTCTTTCATTTTGGCTGCCATTTGAACTTGGGTGATTTAGCCATGAGGGCTGTCCTGGGCTTTGTTGGATGGTGAGCAGTCTCTGACTTTAATTCACTAAATGCCAGGCATCTCTCTCTACCTGTTGTGTCAACCCATAAAGTCTCCAGACGTTTCCAGAAGGAAGCAGCCATAGCCACTGGATAGTGTTGGCCACAGGTGAGGATGATGTCATGTTCCTGCTATAGCATCTGCTTTGGATGGCAGGATCTAGCTCAGCACAAAATCTGGGGCTTCTCTTAGTAACTGTGAGGGTAAGATGTGCATATCCGTGTGCGTACCTGACTCCTGGCTTTATTTTCCAACCCTAGTTTTTCTTTCAACCAGCTTCCCATCTATTATTTATGTATTTTAAATCTGTATTGAAGAGAAAATAGTTTATAGCATCATATAGATTTCAGATATACAGCATTATAGTTTGACATCTGTACGGGCTACATTATATTCTTTACCCAAACTATTTTCCATCTACCACCATACAATTGCCCCCCCTACCCACTTCCCCTCTGGTTACCACCACGTTGTTCTCATCACCTGCTTGTTTTTGTTTATTTTGGCCCTTTTGGTATTTGTCACTTTTATAAGCACTTCAAATCTACTTGAAGGAGTTTATGTTTGTCTTATTCTTCTTGTTATACTGCAGGCTATCCCAGGGCCTGGCCTGTAGACTTTGATAGAGGTTTTATTTAATGAAAAATGAATGGGAGGATGGATAGATTAACAGATGTCTGAATGGGTGGATAGGTGGATGGTTTGATGAATAGAAGTGATGGATTTGTGAATGGATGGGAGCGTGGATGGATGGATGGGTGGGTGGGAAGATGGGACAAAAGATGAATGAGTCACTGGGAAGATGGGGGATAGGCAGATGGATGGATGGATTAATGAGTAGATATGATGGGTAGATGAGTGTGTGTGGTGGATGATGGATGGATAAATAGTTAGGTAGGAATGATGAGAGAGATAAGTAGATGGATAAGGAACTGGATATATGGGTCGGTGGATTCATGCATGAATGAGATGATTGGTAGGTGGACAAATGGAAAGGTGGATGGATGGATGGATGGATGGATGGATGGATGGATGGATGGATGGATGGATGGATGAGATGTGCTGGGTTGGGATAGCAGCACCCACAAGTGCTCAGGACAGGACAAGCGAGAAGACGGGGTAGATCTGGTGTGAGTCAACAATCCTCCTTCAGCAGTCTCTAAGTGCCAGATGAGTTTGACTCTTCCTAGTTCCTTTGACCAACGGCATCAGCCTCAAGCCAGATAAGAGGCTACTTTCAGAGGCAGTTGGTTAACTGACTCTCCTACTTATGGCTGTGTTAGGATGAGCACTTTGCTTCAGCTCTTCGAGCCTCAATTTCTTTGTTCATCAAATGAAACTTGGTTGTTAGGACGATTCCATGAACAGATGGAGGAGGAAATGTTTCCTAGACTATGTCCTATAGGGCTCTATTTCCCTGAAGGGTTAAAGGCCCAAAGCTGGGCCCAGACGCTGGCTGGCTATGAGACTATCAGATATCAAACATGGCTCTTCTCATCCTTCACTCCCAAAGTTTAGTCACGCCACCTTTCCTCTTTCTCCCCTCTGCAAATCATCTTCCCGTCCCACTGCAATTTGGTCTCAGTCCCTCTGATTCACAAAACTGGCTGCACATGGGAAACATAATAACTGATTTATCTGGGGGCTCCATTCTGCATTGGTGAATCAGAATCCCCTAGGGTGAGCACCAAGAATCTCTAAATATTTTAATTAAGTTCCTTAAGTGACTTTGGCTATCTCGGTGAGCAGGAGTAGGGAAACCATGGCCTTGTTTTGTCACATTATAGAGGACATGGACACCAGAGTGCCTCTTATCGCTACCTGATGGACTCTGCATTCATTAGTTCATTGTTTGCTTGTTCATTTTAAAGCCATCAAGACTCTGGGAAAGACAAATCCCATCACCACCAAGGGAGGGTGGCTGGGACCTGAGGGTGGAGTTGGGCAGCCAGGTTGGATATAAAAAACCAAACACGTGGGCCTTGGGCTCTCTCTGGCTCCCGATCGCTCGCCTCCTGGCTTCACCGCTCCTGGCTGGCGGCCAACTCTGAGAGCGCCATTTTGGGATTCCTGATCGGCGGATCGGGTAGGACTCATTTAAAACTTTGTCTCCCACTTTTCTCCCAGAGCTGTACATTTCCTCATTTCCCCTTCCCTTGTAAATAAACCTTTTATTAACCTTTCACGTGTGCCTGCAGTAGAGCATTGATAAGTCCTTTTAAGCGCGCGGGTGAGGACCCACAGTCAGGCACCCCGTTTTGTATCGGGGTTTCTCTACAAAAATTTCACCAACAAATGATTCCTGGGATCTTAAGATACTTTCAGGAGGCACAGCAGGAAGGTAGGAAAATACAGCTTGGCTTCAGATCTTGGCGAGCACTTAATCTGGCGGGGCAGACGGACTGTGCCATGGTGTGGATGGATGGGGTTTAGGAGGAGGGGAAGGGACTGAGGATGCGGGGAGGGGTCAGGAGCCTCTTGACCTGGAGGACTGGGCTGGTGTCTAAGCTGGAGCCTGGAGATTTGGCAGGAGTCAGCCAGGAGCGGAGAGGGGCGGGGTTAGCAAGGCAAAGGCCCTGGTGAGAGCCTGCCAAGTTGTACTGTTTTACTTACATTTGACTGCAATTAATTCCATCCTTTATTGAAAGCATCTTGGGACTTTTCTGATTATTTCATGAATGATTTATCTTGTTCCTAAAAAGATTATGGGATGTTTAAGTGCAGGAGCCACGCCTTCCACTTTTCTTTTTCTTTCTAATTCACATGCCTCTAGCTTAAGGGCCTGTAAGAGGAAAGAAATTTGTCTCCATTTAAATCCCTTCTATGCAGGATGCTGGGCTCTTTATAGGCCCTCTTCCTTTTAATCTGTGCGATAATCCATCTAGATGGAAAAATATAATCTACGTTTTACAAACAGAGAAACAGAGATTCAGAGTTGTTAAGAAAGTTTCCCTGCATCACACAGTGAATGAGTGATTAAAATCCAGCTGAGAGCAAACCTTCATTTTTTAGCTACACTTGCTACCCTCCCCCCTCAACTAGTATCAGCGGAGGTGTATAACAGCACTGGTTAGCAGTTCAAACTCCGAAGACAGATTGCCCATATCCAAATGGTGTGTGGCTTAAGGCAAAGTACCTCATTTTCTGTGCCTCAGTTTCTCTGTCAAATGGTGTGGTAATGATAGCATCTGTGTGATGGGGTGAGAGAGTGAGGGCAGGTTAATCTCTGTACAATATTGAGTATTTGGCACATAGGAAGTGCTATGTATATACCTGTGCACCTACTATGTGAAAGGGACTGGTGGTTAGCTACATGCTGGGCATTTTTTTTTTGTTGTGGAAAAAACAAATGAGCGAAGGATACATAACTGATTCAGAATGCAACTGCATAGCCAGAGAGTCAGGACCAAACTTCATGCCAAGACTTCCCAAGCCTTCTGATGCCTGGGGCCTGTTGGGGAGCAGTGGGTGGGACTGGTTCATGTGTCTGGGCCTGTTGGAGCAAATGGGAGGCAGGGAAAGGAGTGCAGAGCCTGCCTTGGCCACTGACCTGGGGGATGGCTCTGGCCCTGGGGGCTGTTGGTCTCACTCAAATCCTTCTTTGCTGAATTTCTGCCTCCTCTTCTGAGAGATAGAGACAGTGACATGCTCAGTCCTGAAGCCCTAGGAGTCAGGGAACATGCTTAGGAACCCTGGTTCTCTCTGAAACTACTAGGAGGAGATCAATGCATGGCAGAGCTCCCAGACTCCCCCCACCCCACAGCCTCGGGTCCAACCAGACAAGCTCCATTTTGGCACTTGAGTGAAACATTTAATGAAAGAAGTCCATGGTTCAAAATGTTTGGAGAAGCAGAGGACAAGACTAATGTGTCCCAAGTATAATTCTACCCGTAAATGGGTCATGCAGGTATTGGCTGATGGGACTGGTTGACGGAACAAGCAACCCAAAAGGTATGTCAGAAGTTTGTTTGCCTCCATCATAGTCATCAGGGGCTGCAGCATGGCCCTGGCCCAGAGCGACACTGATCACCTCTACTCACATTCCATTGGTGAGAACAGTCACATGGTCTTGGCCAAGCACAGAGGCATCTGGGATATGTGGACCCTGGCAGGACAGCTATTTTCCAGGAGCTGCTCTGACCTATGGAAAAGGGGGGTGGGCTGGATTTATTGGTACATGGTTGACCACCTCAGCTATGTGCCCCACAAACATACTGGTCAACTGTGGAAGAGTCTCATACTCTGCCGATAGAGCTAGCTGGGCACGTGGTATGAATATATAATCCTTACATCAAATACTTGAATAAAAATGTGTGTCGAGAGACACATGGAGAGCAATAAAATAAACGGGACAGAATGGCACCAGCTGGTGAATTTAGGGAAGGAAACATCTATCCTCACTGTACTATCCTTTCAAACTTCAGTAGCTTTGAAAATTTTCCAGGGAAAATGTAGTTGTCAACATTTGTTAGATTTAAAAGTAAATAGTATAAAATAAGGTATAAATAGAATAACCTTTCATTTAAATTTAAGGGTTTTGAATTGTAAATTTAACACGATTTGGGAGACCTTTTCTAGAAAAGGCCAGAGAATAAATATTTTAGACTTTTCAGTTCAGATGGGATCTTTGTCTCTGCTCTTTTCTGCTGTTGTAGCATGAAAGCTGCCACAGACAATAACTTAATGGTGATGTGTTGGCCGTGTTCCAATAAAACTTTATTTACAAACACAGGCCATGGACCAGACTTCACAGAGATTTGCTGACTCTCGCTTTAATATATTGAATACATTTTTTAAAGCGTCTGAAATATATGTTTTTTATTTTAAGCAGATATAGTATTCCTAAAATACAACTCAACAGTCTTCATAGGCATGATGGATCAGCATGTCCCATATGGAACAGCATGGCCAAGGCAACCTGGATCTGTTCAGGTCGCCTCACTCTGAGGGACAAAATCATCTCAGCACATTTGCTATTCACATTATCAACTGGTTTCTCTTGCTTTTACCTCTAGACTTTTCTTTGGACAGACATGTATTATTTAAACCCATTTTCAGTGAAGTATAAATTCATACAGAAAAGAGCATGAATCATAAATCACAGACTGATGAAACTTCACAAGGATGAGCACATTTTTTTAAATGAAGACAAATAGACCACACATCTTCTGGGGTAAGAGTGGCTTTTGTGGGTGTGAAACTTTGGTTTCACTTATTATATGTATTTTTTTAAGGATTTCTTTATGCATACAAGAACTGGGGTACAGGCCAGAGGTGTGGGAGGTGAGAGGACTCACCAGAGACAGAGTGGGGAACAGAACAGGCAGATCTACTGAAATACACTGCTGAGGGGAGCAACAGGTGAGACAGGAGAGGTCTGCTGTGCCATGTGGGTAGCTCCCTGGCTGGGGATCGAACTCGTGCTGCAGTGGCTGCGGATAGCTTCATAGTGCTGTGCAAGGTTAAGACCCCTTGCACCACTAGGGAGGCCCTTATTATATGTATTTTGGATGTATATAATAGAGCACTTGGTAGAGCTTCACACATGTTGAACTCCTCCTCTTCACAGCACCCTATTATCATCATTCCCATTTTATAGATGAGAAACGGAGGCACCGGGAGGATGAGTCATGAGCAAAAGTGACGTGGGTGTTAAGAGGTGAGGCCGAAGTTCCCACGTGAATTTGGGCTCCAGAATCTATTTTGACTACCACCCATTATTGCTACTGTATATAAAGCAGGCGATGTAAAATGTATTTTTTACTGAGGGTCATGGTTAAAAGGGTTTAAAAACCACTGGACAGAATGTTCCCAACTGACCTAAAATAGCATACTTTTCCTTCAAGATACCCACAGGCTACAGGGGCCAATTTTAGGCAGAGCACAAACACTTCTAAGTATTACTGAATATATTTTACTGAGTTAGAAAAATTTATAACTGGTATAAAATATCCTTTTTGAAATTAAAGTTAGTCTTTGGGGGGAACAAAAATAACAAGTAAATAATTACAGGAAAACAAAGAACAGGTAATAGGCAGATAGGGTAAAAAGCAAAGAGGAATACAAATGTCTACAGTTTGTTTGTTTATTTATTTATTTATTTATTTATTTATACAAGCACTGGGTACAGTCAGAAGCGCGGGAGGGTGAGAGAATTCACCAGAGCCAGAGCCGGGAGCAGAGCAGGCAGAAGGACCGAAGTACACTGCTGAGGGAAGCAGCGGGTGGCAGGAGAGGTCTGCGCGCCATGTGGGACCCTCCTCCGGTGGCCGGGGAGCAGCCGGGGATCGAACTGGCGCTGCAGAGGCTGCGGGCAGCTTCGCAACCCAGCGCTCAACCGTTGCACCACTGGGGAGGCCCCAAATGTCTACAGTTTGGGGACCAGACACTAAACTTGGGGTCTGAAAGCCCAGATCTGGGTCCTGGTTTGTCCTAGACCTGGCTTATGCTTACATATTACCTTTTGTGGGTCAGGTGTTGCTTTTTTTTTTTTTTAAGATTTATTTCTACATACAAGAACTGGGGTATAGGCCAGAGGTGAGGGGAGCAGGGGGTGGGTGGTGAGAAGATTCACCAGAGACGGAGTGGGGAGCAGAACAGACAAACTGACTGAAATACACTGCTGAAGGGAGCAGCGGGGAGACAGGAAAGGTCTGCTGCACCATGTGGGTAGCTCCCTGGCCGGGGACCGAACTCATGCTACAGCGGCTGCAGATAGCTTCATAATACTGAGACTTAACCCCTTGTGCCACAATACCCGGGTCAGGTATAGTTCTAAAAATCAAAACCAACTCTTCAAATCCTCGCAACTGTCTAATGAGGTGGGCACTGTCATCATACCCATTTCTCAGAAGAGATAACAAAGGCTCAGAGAGGTTAAATAACTTACCTAAAACCACACAGCCTGCAAGAGACAGAGCTAGAATTCAAACCCAGCTGATGTAACAAAACAGCCCAAAAGCTAAGATGGAAGAATTTCTTTTGTTCACACCTGGACCCTGGCTCCTTCTATCTTGGCTGATGGATGGGTTTTATTTTAACTACCCCACCCCACTGTGATGGGTGGGGTTTTCTGTACCACCCTGAGCTCTAAGTCCTCTGAAAATGGGGTTGATAATGCCCGCTCTGCTTTATGTCTCAGGAATGCTCTGCAGATCAGGGGGGTTGGTGCAAGAATCTTGTGTGAACTGCCAACAGTGTCACTGGATGTAAAGTGCTAGTATCATTGTTACGCTGAACCATACCTACCTTATGGTGTTATTGTGAAGGTGAATTGAGATGATGCACGAGAGGCCTGGGTTCACGTGCAGAGAGAGCTGTGAATAATAGTAAAAATAGATGTGAAGTTATGCAAATAAAACAACAAATACTAACTTCTCTCCAAATTGGGAAGTTAACACATCACATCCAGGACCAAAACATCAAGCAATCCCAGCGTAATCATATTTAGAAATACAAAGAAAAACACAGTGGATGGGGAGCAGTAGGGGAGACAAGACAGTTGGTGGGTTGCCTCTGGGTGGTGGGAATCAGGTTTAGGAAAGAATTGGGAAGCAACTACTGCTATTTATTATAAGCTTTGTAGAAGTATTTGGTTTTTTTCAACTTTACATTTGTACCTATACAGTTCTGATTATTAAAGTTTTTTAATTAAAAATGAAAAGGGGATACTTGAACACTATTTATAACAGAATACCACGGAGGGGAAAAGCAGAGTTATGATGGAATAGTTCAAGATAATTTTTAAAATTCCACATGAGGGCCTCCCTGGTGTTTTAAAGCTTTAAAAAAATAAATTAAATTCCACATGGATACTTTTTAAAAAAGATTTATTTATTTATGAATACAAGAACTGGGGTACAGGCCAGAGACGTGGGGGGTGAGAGGATTCACCAGAGACAGAGTGGGGAACAGAACAGGCAGACAGACTGAAATACACTGCTGAGGGCAGCAGCGGGCAAGACAGGAGAGGTCTGCTGCGCCATGTGGGTATCTCCCTGGCCGCCCCAGATTGAACTTGTGCTGCAGAGGCTGTGGATTTCCTCATAGAGCGGTGCTTAACCCCTTGCACCACCTGGGAGGCCCTCCACATGAACACTTTTACATAGCTTTGTGTCACTGAATAAAAAACCTAAGTTCTTTTCCCTGACTCTTGTCGCCCTGCTGATGACCAATCTTGTCTGCCTCCCTTTTGCTCATTCTACTTTAGCCACACTTTTTATTAGCTTTCAATCTTGGCAAGCAGATTCCTGCCCCAGGACCTTTTCATTTGCTATTTCCACTGCCAGAAACACCTTTTCCTCATCTCTTCTCATAACTAATAACCAACATTGATTGTTCACTATTCTTACTGAGAACAAGACAAGGCCATAGTGACCTTTCTTGACTCAAGTCTAAGACGGCACCTCTGGCCTTCACTATCAGTCTCTGGAATTGTGCATGTATAGACCTGTTAATCATCTGTCTCCTCCACTGCCTTGTAAGTTCCTGCAGAGCAGGGAATCTTGCCACCATGTTGCCTGTATATCCTCAGCATGTAGACAGTACTTGGCACACAGTAGGTGCTCCATAAATACTTGCAGAATGAGCAAATGCAGATGGGGACAGCTGAGTCAGTATACTGAGCCCCTGGATGGGCCAGTGGTGTGGGGACAAAGCTGAATCTTCTGAGGGAGCCCAGCCCCGGGTAAATAGGTCTCCCTCTGCCCAGACAGTCACTGTTTGACAACCGTCTGCCATGAGACTGGCCAAGCCTGGGCCAGCACACTGCCAAGGCCCCAGGATTCCCTGGGCCAAGCAGTCAAGGCAGCCACACATCAGAGAGAGCTTGAGAAGGAATGGGTCAACAAGTTATCCAAATAGGCAAAAGGAAGGGTGGAGAAGGTGGTGAGACACCAAGAGCAGTTGGCTTGGCCCTGGATAGAGCCCCAGGAGCTGGAGGAAGGTCCTAGCACACCCCATGGGCAGTTTCCAGCCAGCGCCTGGCCTCCAGGGGGTGCTCTCAGACTCAGCACCGGGAACAAGGAGAATCAGATTCTGACCTCGGCTCTGGTGGTGACTTGCAGAGTCTCTTACCAACTCTGCGCTTCAGTTTGCTCACCTGGAAATCAAGGAACCATGAGCAGAACTTGACAACTAAAAGAAAGGCAGTGGATTCTTTCTTCAAACAAAATCTCCCCAGCAGCTACTACACAGGAATGAAACAGATGCTCCCTGGTGGTCTAAGCAACTGTGAATATTGCTCACCCCGCTGCCCGCAGCTTTTCAGGATAGCTCCAGGATATGAACCCAGACCCCTCTGAGGTTCTTCAGCACCAGGAGGTGGAAAGAGTGTGGCCAAAGGAAGCATCTGGAGTCTTGTAATTAAACACAGACTCAGGTTCAAGCTCCACAGTGTGATTTTGGGCGATTCTCTCCACCCGGGAGAGAATCCTTGGTTTCCCGGCTCTAGAAAAATCGTTACAACATGTCCAGCCCAGTTCCTGGCACCTACATAATTCTCAGTAAAAATAACGAAAGATCAGTGCTGGCTATTAGTGCAAATAGAAGAAATGACCTGGACTGGGAGCCTGGACAGCCAGTTGTCTTTGCTGTGACCTGGGGCAATATTTAACAGCTCTGAACCTCAGTTTCCCCTTCTGTAGAACACAGCCAAGGGTTTAAAGGAGATCAGAGGTTGAGATCTAGTCCCCAGTTGCTGTCATAAAATCCGAATTGACTGCTAATCTTTAAAAATCCCAACTTCTTGATTCTTTTCAAAAATTGAAGCTCTAACCACACTGATGCTCCATACCCATGAGACAAACACCCATGGAACTAATTTAAACTGGGTGTGCTTTCTTTAATTTGCCATAGTCCCCACCATTCTTAAGAGACTTTATGCTTATGTTATATATATATATATATATATATATATATATATATATATATATATATTTTATTTATGCATACAAGAGCTGGGGTGTAGGTCAGAGGTTGGGTGGGGGGGTGGTGAGAGGATACGCCAGAGACAGAGTGGGGAGCAGAACAAGTGGACTGACTGAAATACATTGTCGAGGGGAGCAGCGGGGAGACAGGAGAGGTCTGCTGTGCCATGTGGGTTGCTCCCTGGCCTTTGAACTCAGTGCTGAAGTGGCTGCTGATAGCTTCATAGTGCAGAGACTTAACCCCTTGCACCATCAGGGAGGCCTGGCTTATGGTATATTAACAAGCACAAACCATTAGGTTTGCTGAATTGTTTTTCTTGCAAGAAAGTGTGAAATTTGCTTATATCCTGTCTGCTCCATATACTTCCGCTACATGGACATTGGGGGCACTTGATTATGGGACCCCTGATTTTTAAAACCAAGAAGAAGTTTATTACTTGTGAGAGCAATCTCTATTTCATAGATTTGCTATCTTTTAAATTTGGCTACTAGATCATTTAAAACTACAAATGTAGCTCTCATTATATTTCTGCTGGACAGTGCTGTGCTAGCCCCTCGGCTTCAATAGCAGTGACTATCACTGCTGATTCACCCTTCCCCTGCCCCCACCCCCCCTTCTGAATAGGCCAGTTCCAGCCAAGCCCCCTGGGCTGGTGTTCCAGCTTGGGTCTTCCAACCACCACCCCCCAAACCCCCACCCCACCCCCAGTTACCTCTAGTATGTCCACTCTTGTTGCCTGCCTGTCTGTTAGGAGGCCTAGGCTCCAGTACTCCAGGCCTGTTTTCTGGAATTCTCTACTTGGAAAATCTCATTTCCCATCCCCCATCTGGCAGCCATTGTGTTTGCTTTATCAGACATTCACATACAACAATAGTCAATTTGAAACTTAATTCCACATCCATTCTTCTACCTCTAGCCTGTGACATTTATCCCAAATCCAGTGACTGAGGGGGGGTGGAGCTGGGATGGGGACAGCCTTATTTTTTCCCCCTTCTCCAAGACAAGTAACAGTTTTTCTAGAGATAAGATGGACAGAGTTTGGGGAAGGACACAGGACTGTCTGCAGTGAAGGGGCTGAGTAACTTTGTTTCTGGAGGAGATAATGTCCATAGCTCCTCTGGGGGAGGAGGGCTTAGGGAGGACCAAATTCTGATGGATTTAGGGTGCCAGAAGGAAAAGGAATCTTGGCAGCCTCCCCTTGCTATAGAGGCTTTATATAGTAGTGACTGAGAACTGGGGTTGCAGAGTCAGGAAGAGTCAGGTTGAGAGTCTGAGATCAGGTGACTTTACCTCGCTGACCCTCAGTCTCTTCTGTAAAATGAGCTAAAGAATAGACCTCTCCCAGCACACAACCTCACAAATGCTAACTATCCTCATCCCTTTTGAAAAGGTGTTCAAAGTGGCACATGGAATAAATGTAATCCTTTTTTTATTTTGCTTCTGTACATCTTAAAAATTCTTCTACCAGGAACCTGCTTTCATTAAATAACAAAAAGTTAATTGAGAGAGGAAGAATAAAATTAAGTGGCTTCAATGGGGAGGGGGGTGTTTAGAGCTGGAAACAGGAAGAGATCTGAGAGTCGAAATTTCATGCTTGCATTTAATATCTTAATAAACTGAGGCCCCAAGAGGACAAGAGACTTAGCCAAAGTCATACAGCCAGTTAGTGGCCGAGCCAGAGCTGGAATGGTGGGCAATGAGAACTGACCTTCTCTAGGTCAGCCCTTCCCACAGCAAGTCTTCTCACACGCAGATTCTGCTGTCAGATGTTTGAAAGATGCTGAATTAAAGAAAGTGGTGCAAGTTTCACTATTGGAGAAGTTCTCACGTCCCTTAACACATGACAGTGCCCTGGACACTGTAAGAGTGGGCACCAATGTGCCCCTATCAGTTCATCGAAGTGTCTTGAAAAGCATCCAATGCCGCGAAAGCTCACATGTTCTGTAGTTCCTGGTGCACGACTGACACTGGCATCTTCTCATGTCCTTCTTTGTCACTGCAGATTCGTTTGAGAAATGTCTGTTCAAGTCTTTGCACATTTTAAAACTGGGTTATTTTGTTGTTGCACTGCTGAAGTTCTTTAGATATTCTGGCTACTCATCCCTTATCAATATACAGTTAGCAAAAATTTTCTTCCATCCTTGTCTTTTCATTCTATTGATGGCATCCTTTGGTGCATAAAAGGTTGATATTTCGACGTAGTCCATTTTGTCCATTTTTTCTTTTGTTGCCTCTGTTTTTGGTGTTGTACCCAAGAAATCATTGCAAATCCAATGTCATGAGTATTCCCCCCTATGTATTCATATACATTTTATCTCTTATGCTTAACTCTTTAATCCATTTTGTGTTGATTCTTGATTAGGGTGTAAAGCTATGAGTCCATCTTCATTTTTTGCATGTGTCTATCCAATTTTCACAACATGACTTTGGTTTTGATCACATCTTATTTAAGACTTTTACACCTGGGTGATTCAACCTCTGATCCATTGCTGGAATCTTCTTACCATCCCCCCTGATATTTAATTCGGACTTGACACTTCCAGCGACAGATGCTCATCACTAAATAAAGTAGCTTTTCTCCTGATAAAACCATTGCATTCAGTAGAAATAGCACCTTCATGTTGAGTGCAAACTTTCTTCCCTGTGGGATTCTTCTGTTCATCCTGGTTTGTCCTCTGGGGCTATAAGAATAGGTAATCACTCTTTTCCAAAGAAAAGTGCTCTCCATTCAGTAAAATAATACCACTACACTCCAGGTTTATAAGCCTTATCACATTTACTCCACAAAACAGTATATGAAAAGATCCTACAGTTGATTCTTATTTTGCAGATGAAGCAAATAAGACTTGAAGAGCTTATAATTTTCACTAGGTCAAAACATGTAAGTGATTCCACTTATTCTTCAAAGGGGGCGGCCCTGACCAGTCTGCAGTAGACCCCTCATCTTCCCCAGCACCAGCCCAACCTCCTTCCTGTTTTTCTTGATTCTTCCAAGGGCATGGTTTTCACATCCTATTGCACCTTATGGTTCAGGGGTTCTCGGTTTATTTTGGACAGCTACTCCTTATCAGATACATGACTTGCATATGTTTTCCATAAGCTGAACTTTCCTTTTGTTGTTGATTTCCTTTGCTGGGCAGAAGCTTTTTAGCTTGATGTCCTCCCACTATTTATTTTACCTTTTGTTGTTTTTGCTTGGGGTATCACCTGCATGATCTCTAAAGGAAGAATATAGAGGACTTTTAGCTCTTTAGCCCTGAGCACTACACCCTTGCTAATGGCACATGAGACCAGGTTAGAGGTTTGCCAGGTTAGGGAGCTGCCACCAAGTAAAACCTCTAGCACTTTGTCACGTCACCTGAGTGCTCTTCATTTAAGCTGTTCTGTTGATTTATCTTTTTTTTAAAAAGATTTATTTATTTATTTATTTATTTATTTATTTATTTATACAAGCACTGGGTACAGTCAGAAGCGCCGAAGGATGAGAGAATTCACCAGAGAGGGGAGCAGAACAGGCAGACTGACGAAATACACTGCTGAGGGGAGCAGCGGGCGTGGCAGGAGAGGTCTGCGAGCCATGTGGGAGCCTCGCCGGCGGCTGGGGATTGAGGCTGCGGGCAGCCTCTCAGCCTAGCGCTCAACCGCTACGCCACCAGGGAAGGCCCTGATTTATCTTTTAACCAAACACCAGACAATCTCAGACTGCTTTTGGGGATCCAAGAGCAATTGACACACATTTATACAAAGAGAGAATAGACCAAGAGTCCAGACGCTTCAAAAACAGCAATATTAAGCCAGTATATAATATAATGGATCATCTCATTCTATTTATGATCTCATTACTTCTCCTTAAACAATGAGAAGTAACTACTTCTAAAATAAATCTAAGTCAAAACAAGTGAGTTGATGTGTTAACTAATAACAGAAAGTTTTCAGATATGACAAAGTCAGGAAAACCAGTGAAACTTTGGAAAGACAGATTAAGTGAAGCTGTGCTGCAGTGACAAAAAAAAAAAAAAAAAAAAAAAGCCCTACAAGCTCAGTGGTTTAACACAGTGGCTCAGTGAACGGGCACCTTTGAGGAAGGTCACAATTTTTGTGCTGGATCTATGTGGAAGCCCATGTTTGCAGCCAGGGGCATTTATATATCTAAAAAGTTAGTATCATATAATAATATCATTGATTCTCCCCCCACCCCACTGTCCCTCCATTATAAAAATTAACGTGTGGGTCTGGGGCAATGGTGAAAAGTATGATCTTTGCAATTAGACCAAAAGTGAACACCTACATTGGACTCACTACTAGCTTTGTGAAGGCCATTCGTTTCCCTTCCTCAGTCTTAAAAACAACAACCGTATGTCAATGGTCATATTCCATCACCCCACCCCATCCCAGTTATTCATGTCAAAATCCTGATACTCACTATTTTTGTGTCCTTCATCTCTCCCAACTCATCGGAATATCTAGAACTTGCCCAACAGTATCTCAAAGTGTAAGCTCCATCTCCCCTACAGCCAGCCATGGCCACTGACCTCTCCAGGTCTGCAAACCTCTTCACTTCTCTTCTTAGGGTCTGGCTCTCCTACTGTTATAGGACAGGGAGAGGGGTAGCCCAAGCCCCGCAAACCTGCCTATTCTAAATGGGTTCTGCCATCCACTGCATCAACACAAAACATAGGAGACTTTAATGGGAAGGAACTTTAATGAAACTAGGAAACAATACAGGTAAGGCAAAGAGTCTAGTTTCTAAATGAAGCACCCAAAGTTACCCATCCCCTCGTGGGTAAAAGTCCATCCATATGGGATCGGCCCAGAACAAGGCCCCAAAGCCTGCCACAAGTCTAAAACATCTTCCAGTGGGGACCCACAGAAAAGGGTCACAAACAACCAGACAAGCCCGGAAGGAAAAGAGCAAAATCAACATCAAGATAAAAGCTGCCATTGTCACCTCCCCACGGGTCTCACCCACATCTGTGTCACCCAGTCCACGACCAAAAGACAAGCAGTTTCTTCACGTGTCTCTAGGCTCCATGCGCCTCCTCCAGGTCTCCTGGCTCCATCCTGCTTCCTTCCTCAGTCTCTTCTGCAGCTTCTCCTCTTCCTGCTCAGCTCCACCCTCCCTTGGGTGGGGCAGGGAACCTCCCCCTTTCCTGGGGACCACCCTGTTGCACTACCACCCACACTTCTCGGAGGGGCTAGGGGTGATCTTGGATTCAGTGCTTGGAACACCTTTCGAAGGTGATGGGATGGCAGCAGTACCGGCCTGGGGGAGGCTTTAAAATCTTGCGTTCTGATTGGAGCAGTGACCCAGCGTTGGTGTGTGGTTGCATAGAAGTCAGCTGGCCTGAAAAACTAAACCCAGCCTGTTGTGATTGGTGGTGGTGCCGAGGGGTTTGGAGAGACATGGTCCGTCTGGGTCTGTGATTGGGAGAACTGTAATACAACCTCCTCTGTGATTGGTGAAACTATGAGGTTATTTAAGTTTTCTGAACTCCAGTTCCCGCATCGGTCACTAGGAGGAGCCCTGGACGCGCAAAACAGGGCCCTGCTGCTAGCCTGGAGACACCTCCTCCCAGATGTCCTCCGGCTGTACCCTGTGCTAGTTCAGTCTTGTGCCTTAGGGCAACCACAGGGCAGGGTTGGAGGTGGGGCTGGGGGTGGAAGTGGGGTTGGTGTCAAGACTCCCAGCCCTGGCCCGGTATGGCCACGCTTCTCTGCACATCCCCTTTGGCCCTTCCTCTGGCTCCCAGCCCTGTAGAGGACATTGGTTGGTTGAGGGGTGGGGCTGCGGGTTCTGGAAGGTTTGTGAAGGCTGAGATCCAAATTGCAAAACTGTGGAGTCTGTCAAGTGAGACTTGGTAGCCCCCCCATCTCCACGCCCCATAGCTAGCCCTCTACCCAACTGGAGCTCTTTTCTCAAATATGACAGCCTTCACCATGCCCTTTAAGAACCTCAAAGGACTTTTTTTTTTTTTTTTTTTTTTTTATAGAGGCATGTTTTGTTTATATATTTATTTGTTTGTTTATTTGTTTGCTTGTTTATACATGCACTGGGTACAGTCAGAAGCGCGGGAGGGTGAGAGAATTCACCAGAGCCAGAGCGGGGAGCAGAGCAGGCAGAAGGACTGAAGTACACTGCTGAGGGGAGCAGCGGGCGGCAGGAGAGGTCTGCGCCATGTGGGACCCTCCTCCGGTGGCCGGGGAGCAGCCGGGGATTGAACCGGCGCCGCAGAGGCCGCGGGCAGCTTCGCAACCCAGCGCTCAACCGCTGCGCCACCGGGGAGGCCCCTCAAAGGACTTTTGTAAAGTTTTCATTGGAGCTTAAAACTGTTCCAGGCAAGTAAAGGCCCCTAACTCCCAGGTCACCCTCTCCACAGATGCCCCTACCACCCTTAGGTGCTACCACTTTGGCTGTTGTAATGTCTTCACTGCACTTAGGGACTATTTGAAAAACCTCTTTTTATTGACTTCTTCCTGTCCCTCCCCATCAAACCTCCCCACCAAAATGTAGACTCTGTGATGGGGGGGGTGGTGGCCACATATAAGACAGAATGCCCAGTTACACTTGAATTTGAAATAAACAACAACAAATTTTAAATTTGGTACATACTTAAATACTTTAAATAAGGGTTTGTTTATCCAAAATTCAAATGTGATTGGGCATCTCCTATTTGTATCTGTTACAACTGTAATCCTGGGGTGGGAGGGAGCTTGCTTAGTTTTTGTGCCTGCTTGTCCAGCACCTATCATGGGGCACATGGAAAGTGCTTAATAAATGTAGAATGGTTGGATGGATGGATTTCTTCCATTCACTCATTTATTCACCCAACCCATTACATTATACCCCAGCTGGGTCCTGGGAATATAAAGGTAAACAGAACGCAGTCCGATGGAGGAGGCAGAACAGGAAGCCGTTTAATACCATTGGATTAAACTGATGATGTAAAACATCACGTGGGTTGTGGGGGCACAAGGGAGGAGCCAGAACCAGCAGGACTGCCCAGAGGAAGACTATTAGGATGACACTTGGAGGATAAGGAGGTGATGACGGGGTGTAACATCTGCTCTGGGCAGAAGCCGGCCATGTGCAAAGGCCAGAGAGGGGGCAGAGACCGTGGGCTTCTGCAGGTGGCTGGAGGGGCAGTTGGGTGGTGTTTGATGGAAACTCCCAGTCACGGAGCATCCGAGCATCGGCACCGCAGTTGGTGCCCATTGTTTAGATGAGGAAGCTGAAGCTCAGAGAAGTGAGTTAGGTTTACAGTCTGAGTGGGCAAAGCGGAGCTTCCAGCTCAGCTCTGCAACTTGCACTCTACTAGAAAAGGCCCTAGGTTAAGGATTCTAACCCCAATTGGAAGAAATTGAGGCTCAGAAAGCTGACAGGGTTCTCCCCGTAACCTTGGCGCCACCCAGCTGAACAGCACAAGGGGTGTGGTTTGGCCCAAGCCCTCCAGAGAGACCACTGTGGGGCTGGAGCAGGATCCACATTGGCGTGTCTCCCTTTCAGTCAGGGCTACATCTCCAGGAACCCCAGCTGAGCCCTGGGGCTAATTCCTTGCATGGGTCCTGGGCGGGTCTGCAGTTTCCATGGAGACCACCTCCCAATATCCCTGAAATCTCATTGTGACCAGTGAGTATCAAGAGATTGCTCTGCCCACAGACCTCAGGGCTTCCTTGAGGATGCAAAGGGACCCCAGAATACCAGGAGGAGAATGCCAAACTTGGGCCAGGGCTTCCCCCAGGACTCACCAGGTGTGGGTCTGACTCCACCTCCACCTGGCAGGAGGCGGGGTGTTGAGAGAGAGACCCAGAACTGAGGCTACAAGTCCAGAATTGGAGCAGTAGAGAGACCTATGCCCTCAGCCCCCAGCCCCGGAAGACCCAGGTCCCTGACGGGAGGATGCCATTTTGAACAAAGCAGGATATAAATTTCACTCTACAAGGTGAGGAGAGTATCACAGCCTTCTAGAGGTGCTCCAAAGCTACCCAAAGACTAGCCCCCTAATGTCCTTGATTCTGCAGTTGAGGAAACTGAGGCACAGAGCTGGGGAGAGTGGCTTGCACAAAATGAATGAATCAAAAAAAGCAAGTGAAGAATACAGAGGTCACCTGAGCAGAAACGTATTGAAAATGCCATGATCCCCTCTGCCTTGAATTCCAGACTCTCCTTGACCTCCAGGAATGGGGTCTCCCATTGGTCTCCCCTCCCCTGGGCCTGTTCCACCATGCTCCCCTCCCCTCTCTGCCTGTCCTCTTCCTCCCACCTTCCCCTGCCACCCACACAGCCCGAAGCTGGCAGAGAGCTCCTGGCAGGCTGGAGAGCACAGTTACCAGGGCCTCACTGTCCCGTCCGGGAACGCCTTCTCCCTGGGTCATCGTCTGAGTAATTTTGAACATTTTTGTCCCACACTTCAGCTCCCTCTGTGACTTTGGGGCCCAGACTCAGTGGGGGCCCTGACCACCTGCCCCCACATCACCCCCTGCCAGGCCCGCACTGGAGAGATAGGGCCAGGATCCAAAGCTCGAGGGGACAGGTGTCGGGGGAGCCATGCCGGGCAGGGCACACCTGGCTCAGGAGCTGCGTTGAGAAAGCTCAGACGCCACTGACTCAGCTCTGAGCCTCAGTCTTCTTGCTGGGGAGGGGACAGTGATCCTTCCTCAACACTGGCTCTCACCTGGGGTGGAAAGACCTCCAGACCGTGCTATTAAATGAACCAAGCAAGGAGCAAGAACAGCTTGCGAGGTGGGGGCGACGAGGCATAATCCCGTATGCTGCCTTTTCTGTGTGAAAAAGCCTTGGAAGACACTGAGAAGTGGTTTGTGTGGTGAAGAGGGGCGGAGTGGACAGGAGGCAGGAGGGAAGCAAGACGTCCCCACGCGCAGGGCACCTGTCACGTGGTTTTGATTTTGGCGCCACAGGAATGTAGTATTGATTCAAAAATGACTTTAAAAATTTTAACAAGTTTCGTAAAATATCAAATAAAAATAATAATCACATCAATAACATCAGGTGTGTAGCCAAGATGGAGACCCCGGTCCTAGGATGTGCCTCAGGGAGCAGAGAAAGGCAAAGCGGAAGCCGTGACCCAGGAGGGCCTTCCTTTTAAGCCAATCTCATTTGGTCAATAGCAAAAAAAAATAGCCATTGGTCCAAGAATCAGGAGCACCTACATGAGGCCACAGTGCCAGGCCCTGCCTGAAGATCATGGCCCGGAGCTGGCATCCTGGCTTCGTGAGGAAGCTGTGGTGGTTTCCATTTCACAGCCAGGGAAACGCCTCACTCGAGAGCAGCTGCTAAGCTGTTCGATTTGGAGGCACGCTAGGCCTCTCCAGCTCCATGCTTCCAGCCCTCCTGCGGTGGTCTCAGTCTTGGCTGCACACCAGAGTCACCTAGGGCCTTTAAAACTTACCGACACCCACAACCGCCCACCCAACAGCTGCCCCTGCCCCGTGATCGAGCCTTAGTCTGCGAAGGGCCCTGGCACTGGTGTTTGTTAAAGGTCCCTGGTGATTCTAATTCATGCCATGTTTGAATCTTTGCTATATGCTGTCCACATCTTCAAATGGAAACCCAGGCCAGAAGGGAGAAGACTTGCCTAAGATCACACTGTGACTAGTAAAAGAGCTGAGGCAGGGCCTACTTGGTGTCTTAGTGAAAGTTAAAGGTAGTTCGTTCTGAGCAGGAATATCTCCATGAACAGTAGGTCTGGGCAGTGGAACAAGGACTGGATTCCACTCCCACTTACCCTCTTTGCCAGAGAACTTTGGTGCTGTGAATAACCTGTCCAACTGCATGCAGCAAGCCTGGTCTGAGTCTTGGGACTCCCAAGCATTTACTCTTAGTGATGTCGAGGCAACCCCCTGGGCCTTGCAAACAAGGGTATTTCCTGAGGATATGGATTCATCCTTTACCCCAAGACCAGGACTGGGGCCAGGCAGGGCCTCACCATCATCCTCCAGGCCCCACAGGGGCTGAGTAGGCCCCATCTAACTCCCAAGGTCACTTCTGCAGATAAAGTCAGAAACATAACCAGGAGGGAGGAACATAAACAGGACAGAAACAGCAGAAGTCACAAGCCACCTGGCAGGAGGCGGCCTGCAGGGAGACTCCGCCCATACAGACCCAAGTCCTCCTGGCTTCCTTCCTGATCATTCTCCACAACATCCCCACCTCTTGAGAGCTGCGGTCAGTGCCTCCCATAATGCCCTGCTCTCCAGTCAGTGACTTCCATGCCCTTCCACCATAACCCACATGTTGGCCATATCTGGACATTTCCTCTGCCCAGAGGCCACCTCTTCCAG